GAATATGCGAACGATGGATCCCTTAAAAATTACTTGTGTCGGAAATTTAATAAACTTAGTTGGGATGATAAATATCAGTTTTAATCGAATATGGAGCAAGTTGTTCATTAGATTCAAATAATTCCGGTGCCACATACGGAATCATTCCAAATACATCTTTGTGAATCTTTGTTTGAGTTTCAATACTTTTAGAGTTTCCAAAATCCGTTATCTTTGCATCTCCGTTATGTATAAGGATGTTTTTTTGAATGCTAAGAAAATATTTATTAATTATTTGATTTCCTTTATATAAAAACAAATAAATTAATATTTACAAGATCCCTATGCAGAATGTTATTCCTATGTAAATAAAGTAATCCATTTGTAATACCAAGGGCTAGATGACCCTTTTGGTCCCACCCAAGAGTTTGAATCTTTTTTTTTAGATAGGCTCGCAAGTCACCACCATCAGCATATTCCATAACGATACAATAAACTTTACTCTCCGGATCTATTATTTAAAAATAAGTTATTAATCTCAATATATAAACAAATTTATTTATATTTTTACATACCTTGAGTAATTCCTAAAAAACGGATAATATTGTCACAAACATGCCCTCTATTTAGTATTTGTATTTCATGTTGGATAGCATCAAACTCGTCTAAAATAAGTCTCTTACAAGCAACTTCTTTATTATCCATTTTCTTCCAATGTGATTTATATACTAAACCACGATGACCCGAATCAACTCGTGAATTACCAGCTAAATCATTCCATTTAATCTCTGTAATTAATTCTCTTTCAGTAGAGTCTTTTATCCAATTTTGTAATTCATCACTTTCGGATATATTAATAATTGTGGATTTACTTTGTGCCATCAATTGGCTCGCTTTCTCATTAATTGCATTCAATTGGAAGATTACATCCAAGGTTTGTTGATGCACACCAGTCACTCCTTTGGCAATAGCTTGAAAGTACTATATGATGGCATAAAAAGATTAGTATTATCCATAAACATCAAATTATGTGTAAAACGAAACTTTACCTGAAATAAATCTAAGAAATCCGACTTGACCTTTTTATTAACTTGATTAGCATGTTTACCAAAGTCAACCATTAAAGAAAAATGCGTAACCTGCATAATGGAATCAAATTCCATAATCAGTTCTTTAGAAACTTTTTTAATATTTCCACTTCGAACATAATTATTTAAACCTTTTGATTGAGAAATATTATTAACAAATTGATGAATATTACGAATATTTCCAGCTAATTGTTGTAAGTTAAAAAAATCT